GTTTGGCATATATTTGGGGGAGACAACTTGGGAGAAATCTTTCTGTATCCCGTACACCTGGGTGTGTAGGATGTTTAGTTTCAGCTTTTTACTAGCATGGGGTTGTATGATATAGGATCGTATCCTCAGGAAAGCCCTAGCCAGCTCCCCCACCCCCAGCCAACCCCCACTCCAGGTCTCTTCCATCCGCGGAAGAGCCATGCCTGCAACAGGGGCCTCTCCTGGACAGAGAGAGTTGGGGGCTATGGGCGACCATCCAGGGCAGACTCTTGCTGCTCCCCGTTTCCTTCCAGTTGTCCCCTCATGGCTACTTCCTGAGAGACCATCAGCTTGAGAATCCTAAGAGGAGGCCTGGGGGGTACTCACTGAGCTGCTCACCAAAGAGTGCAGGCCAAACCCCCAGCCTGCTTCAGGGTAAAGATGGGGCTTCCTGCTCCCATGAAGCTCGACAGCCTCAGAAACCCACAGGTGCAGTTCATCTCGGTGGCAGTGAATGAGATAACCCAAATGGAAGGAGCCGGCCCTGGGAGAACCAAGTGACCATGACTTAGGGCACAGATAGAGCTTGGGACTCCTGGCTCCGTGCTCTCTGGCCATGCTAGCTGCCCTGGGGTTCCTTGATTTGAGCGGGGAGCTGGTAGAACCCCAGCAAGTCCGGGTCCCAGGATGTGAGGGCCCAGGGGCCTTCCGCCCATCAAATTGCAATGTCATGGTGTGTGCCCGATGGGGGAAGGAGCTGCAGGCCTGCCACGGGGCATGGGGAACCTGCCTGAGTAGAGGGGCCGGCAGGGAGGGCTGGGGAATTCCTAGACAGGGGCTAGTGGGCGGAAACTGGTCCGGTGGCTTAGACAGCTGGAGCAAGGCCAGAGGGTGTTCGGGCTTGTCAAAGTAATTTGGCACTCAGGGAGTGCTAGAGTTTGGGAATGGGGAGGGTCGTTGAAGAGAAATGTGCAGAAAGGTCTTCCAGGGAGCTGAAGTTATGTTTCCACTTATTGGCACCCCCAGCTCTGCTTCGAAGAGCCTGCTTTTGGTCCCAGCCCCTAACACACTCGCTCCTGCCCGTGCCAGCCAGTCATTTGTTTCTCTGCCCTGGGTGGCTTGTGGTTTGCCATCCCCCTTCCTCCTACGGTGATCGGCCGGCTCTCTCCTGAGACTGGGGACTTGAAGCTGAAAGAAGTGCAGAATCCGTGTGGGGTCGCAGAGAAGGGACCCATGGTCTGGTCCCCAGGGATGCTTGGGGTCTGAGCACCATCACCAGCTGACTTGGGCTCATAGAACAGAGCTGGGCTCCACACGGTTTTTGGTGACTCGCTTTTTAGGAAGCAGAATGTCAGGCCTTCATTCCACGGCACGTTTGAGCATCTTCAGCCCATCCATTCTGGTTAGCAGCCAACCACTCACCCGGTGGTGCCAGCCCAGGTGTGAAAATGCTTTGCAGACAGTGTCAGAGGCAGGTGTTCTGTGCCTAGACTCCTGGGAGCTGTGTAGAAGGAGCCTGCCGCAGTCCCGGGGGTGGGGTGGGATTGGGAGGGGTCATCCTGACCCTGCAGCCCTTTTTCTGGGTGGCTGCAGCATCCACCCTCAGCGAGGTGGGGCCCAAAGCCTTCCAAGCCTCGGGCCACAGGCTGCTTACCAGCTGGCATCAAAACATGCTGAATATTTCAGGGTGGAAAGTGTCTTTTCTCCTCGGCTCCCCTCCCCTTGTGCCCCGGCCCTGGCTTCTGGGTGCCTGAGGCCAGGCCCTGCCTGCTATATGGCCAGGCCTGGGAGGGGAAGCTACACAGGTGGCTCTTGGGGGTGGCTTATAGGAGAGGGGTTGGTGGGGATGAGATTAAGGAGGGTCCCTCTTCCTAAAACAGGACCAGTGCTGAGATCCCACCTCACCCCACCCGTTTTAGTGGCTGCAGTTCTGTGTGGTCTCCTGGGACGACTAAGCGTAGCATCTAGAGGATTTCATTCTCTTTCCCATTCGCTCTGTCACACATAGAGGAGCCCTGGCAGCCTAAGAGGAGCCCTGGTGGCATAAGAGGAGCCCTGGCGGCATAAGAGGAGCCCTGGTGGCACAGTGGTCGTGCGTTGGGCTGCTAACTGAAAGATCGGTGGCTCACAACCAGCAACCTCTCCACAGGAGAAAGCTGGGCTTTCTACTCCCCCAAAGAGTTCCAGCCTCAGAAGCCCACAGGGGCAGGTCTGCCCTGTCCTGGGGACTCCTGTGAGTTGGGATGGGCTCGCTGGCAGGGAATTGGTTTGGTTTTGTTTTAATTCATAGAGAAGCATGAAGGAGAACAATGTCATTGCTCACTACGCTTGCCTCTAAGAGAATGTTTTGATCCATATAGGTCATTAAACTTCCTTTCCCCCTCATGGTCCCTTCCCCCAAACACTGCCCACCTGCCCCAAATGATGGGCGGGCAGCAATGACAAGAAAGAGCCAGTTTGCTGCTGAAACCTGTGTCCTCCCCTTGGGGAACGTGGTGCTATCCTGTTGGCAGCTTAGAGCCTCGTGGTCTTAGAAACCGCGGGCACCAGTCCGTGCCTACTGAAGACCTGGGATGCTTGTCACCGCCAGCATAGCTGTCCCCGCAAATAGATTAAAACCTCCTCTCATCCCACAAGTAGAGCCTTATGGACTAGTCGATATTCGGCTGTCTGTGACTACATATATAAAAGCAAGCTGGTAACACAGGGTGAGGTCATGAGCGGGGCAGCTCTGTTTCAGGGATCAGAAACTAATGTTGGGGTGCTGGAACCCCGCTTCTCCCTGGGAAGCTGTGGCCTCCGGCATTTGTATGTAAGTGCCGTGCCTACAGCCTCCCCTAGCCAAGTCTACCGGGCCTGCGCCAGTAGAAAGTACAGAGCAAACAGATCTGTCTCAGGAGAAGCCTGGCTGAAGCAGGAACTCTTGTCGTTCTAGCAAGGCCCCATCCTGCCCTCGATGCTCCTGCTGTCTGATGGCCGGGCTCAGGGAGCTGGGGCAGGGCACCGGTCCTCTCTCCTTCTTCATTTGTCCGTGCCTCCTCTGGCCATTCTGCAAGGGGCCAGGGATATTGCAGGGAGAAGTAGAACCTGCCCTCCCAGAGCTGGAGGGCTGTGGTCAGCGAGGATCTCCCCGGCACAGCCACTCGGTCCAAAGTGGCCAGGGAGAAGGGAGTTCTGGGAGGACAGGGACTCGTTGGGCTCCTTACAGCGAGGCCTGGCTGCGGCAGCCAGCCCGTTACTCATGTTTTCTCAGCCCAGGGGAAGGGTCAGATTGCAGGGCATTCACAGGTGACAGCACGGAAGGCTGTGTCCCTTTCTGGTCACCCGAGCGGTCAGAACTGAAAATAGCAAGCCGGTGCCTACGTTTGCATACTTCCGAGGGGCCAGCACTGCCCACACAGAGCACCCGCATTGCCGGCCTCGCTCGGTTGCCTCCGGCAGAGCAGTGCTGGCCATGGCTGCAGGCCCGCTCTCGCTCGGTCTGTCCCGTCCTGCTTCTTTAAGGCCTGGGTTAAGGGAGGGGGGG